TTTGCCGGTTTATTCTCAATTGTCGCACTAAGAAAGATGATGATAATGAAGTACAAGTTGACGTATCCAAGTGGAACCGCAACTGCATACCTGATCAACTGTTTCCACACTCCTAAAGGAGCAGAGCTCGCCAAGAAACAAGTTGGTTCCTTGTTCAAATCGTTTGGGTTCAGCTTTATATTTGGGGCTGTTCAGTGGATATTTGCACGTGCTGAAGGCTGCGGATTTGCTAGCTTGCATACATTTGGTTCCCAAGCATATGCCAAAAGGTTATACTTTGATTTCTCATCCACCTATGTTGGAGTTGGTATGCTTTGCCCCTACATGGTCAACATATCATTGCTAACGGGTGCTATACTCTCGTGGGCTTTCATGTGGCCAATGATTGAAGCAAAGAAAGGGGACTGGTACTCTGCCCATTTATCTGCAACGAGTCTTCATGGTATCCAAGGATACAGGGTATTTATCGCAATTGCCATGATGCTTGGTGATGGTCTTTTCCATTTTGCCTACATGTTGGTGGTCACAATCTCAAGTTTCACAAAGAGAAAGAATAGTACTCAGCAAGATTGTTCAGAAGAGGACGATGAAGATGAAAAGATACGAAATGATTACTTCTTGAAGGACCAGATTCCCAACTGGGCAGCTGCTGGGGGATACGCTGGAATTGCAGTCGTATCTATCATTGTGGTACCCATGATTTTCCACTCGCTCAAATGGTATCACGTTTTTGTTGCCTATTTAATTGCACCTATCTTGGCCTTCTGCAATTCTTATGGAGCCGGCCTCACTGATTGGTCCCTTGCCTCAAATTACGGAAAAATTGCAATTCTTACATTTAGTTATTGGGTTGGTTTGGAGAATGGTGGAGTGATTGCTAGACTTGCTTCATGTGGTTTGATGATGAGTATACTAGACACAACTTTTGGCTTGATGGGAGATTTCAAGACTGGTTACTTAACCCTTACATCCCCGCGTTCCATGTTCTTTAGCCAACTCATTGGTACTGCCATGGGATGTGTCATAACCCCTCTAGTCTTCTGGATTTTCAACAGTGCCTATCGATTAGGTGATCCAGAAGGTTCATACCCTGCACCATATGCTCTCATGTATCGTGGAATCGCCCTACTTGGCGTCGAAGGTTTTGGAAGTCTACCCAAACATTGCCTCAATCTCGCTATTTGCTTCTTTGTTGCTGCTATTCTCATCAACCTAGTGACTCAACTGCTGAAGAAATTTGAGACCAAGTATAGAATTTATCGATTCATTCCGAGTCCAATGTGCATGGCCATTCCATTTTACCTTGGAGGCTACTTTGCCATTGACATGTGTCTAGGCTCATTGATCCTATTCGGTTGGCAAATGTATAACAAGCAGAAGGCTAAAGATTTTGGACCTGCAGTGGCTTCTGGTCTAATATGTGGTGACTCATTGTGGGGAATTCCAGCATCTGTTCTTGCTCTAGCTGGAGTCAAAGCTCCATTTTGCTTGAAATTTTAGTCACATAATAGTTGTACAGATCACTTTTTGAGTCTTTTGGTTGTCTTTTTAACAGTCCACATTAGGTTATATTATCTTAACAGGTTATTTCAAGGCATGTGTATTTCATTATTTTAGTAATGTTAAGACAAGCTATATTTCTATATTTCTTGTTGTTTTCAAATTAGAGACGTATCTTGTGTGTTTTAATAGCAGTTTCCTTTCATTTCTGCTGAACATTTAATCTTACAACATATACTTCGGTGTACTTAAATTTGTTCTCTGGATGTCTATGAAATATCTCACAATGTGAAAGAAAAAAAAGGCGCAAATGGAGTAATATAGAATATATATGTTTAGTCCATGACTACTAATTGTAAAACATGAATGACAAATGAGTGACCACTGTTTTGGTCACATAATCCTTGTACAGACCACTGTTTTTTTACTCTCTGCAGCTGTAAACATAAAGACTATTCTAGTAATAGCATTCATATGAGAAAATTCAAAAAATTACTAGAATGTCGATTTGAACTCGTGATCTAAAGTAACTTTTGAACCCCTTCTGTCATTATGCTAGAGTCTGTTGGGTGATTGTTCAAAAGATTAAAAAAACTACACAGAACAGAGGAAGCTCATAGGCTCTACCTCTATTTGGTTCATGCTTTGTATTAGTGTAATTTGCTAGTGCAGAGAGCAATGAAACGTTTAACACTGCAACATCAAATGCTTGTAACTTTCTGTCAACATCTCCTCTTCTGTTTACCACAAATAATAAAGACATGATTCAGGTGCATTCAACAAAGATCAATTCAGAAATGACAAAAAAAACAAAATTTAAGAGTTTGTTACATGTGATGAACATAAAAACGACTCAATCACACCTAACCAAATATTAAATAAGTGTTTTTGGATCGATCAAACTCTCGTTGAAAGTGACTATATTAATCATGTCACCACGTTTAACAAATGAATCACACCATAACCGAAATCTACCTTTGGATGTCCTGAATGAATCACGTACTACATCGCGGCTCTGAAATAGTACATCACCATCTGCAAACCTATAAACAGGTTTGACTATAGAAACAGGAGCAATTTTTATTTTAAATAATTGAGTCCAAGATTCCTTGACACCGTGGTCTTTCATTCCCCACAATGTAAAAGCATACTCTCCATCAACCTTACAAGCGGAAGAAAGGCAAACCATTCCATCTAATATCGAAACATGATAGTCCCCGGAGATAGCAAGGGAAAGATAAGAGTACATTTGCTCTGACAATGGTATCATTGTATATACCTCATTTGAAATATTGAATGAACCCACACAAAAATTGCGATGAATCCAATGAAATGCTCCATGTACAAATGCCAAAGGATCCTCACAACCAAACGAATTCTTCAAAGTGTGAAAGATGTGAGGTGTCTCAATATAGACATTTCTCCAAGAACCACTTTTTAGTGCGAGAATTCCACATTGTATTTGTGATTTGCTTTCGTGAATTGCAAGTATCTTATAGTCATGAGTAGTTGGGTCATATCCAAATCCAAAAGTAGAATTACGTAATCCAAATATCGGAAAGGGAATATGTATTGATTCTCGTGTTGAGGGGTTCCATAACAAGAGAAGCTCATGAGTATAACGAGTAGGAAGTCGGATGAGAACCAATCCATCACAAGAACCACATAGTATGTGAAAACATGTATACTCTGAAGAGAGATAATCAATATTTTGTACATCATCTTCATCAAGAGATAAAGAAGAATTAGAATATAAGTTATGAAAATTCTGAGGGCGACAGAAGTTGGTATGGGCAAAAAGATATCTTAGAGAATTGGCATGACGACTTTGATGCTTCGTCTTGAAGTAAGGATCGGAGGTTATATCCCAAGACTTTGAAACACATTTGAATCGGAAAAGTGATCGTACGGGCAACCAACTAAGGATCTCCCTTATTAACTCCTCTGGACAAATAATTGATCTCTATATGCAAGTTGATATAGTAATTAGTATAGTATAACAAGAAGAAAAAATTAAAAATACCAGGCTCGTTTGGTTTGGGAACAAGTTATCACAAGATAGTTATTTCACCCTGCAATCTCGAGATAAGTTATCCTACGAGAATTAGTTATCCCTTATTCCTTATACCAAACGAGCCTTAAGTTGTACCAACAACGTACAATTAAACTGAAATAACAACTACTAACCTGAGCAACAATATCCATCTTGTTCGATTTCTTCTTCTTCTTTTGTTGGCATATGCAAAAAATGCACTTTTCCATATCGCAAATCTGATTCATTTTTTTTGTATTTGCATTCGATTTCTTCTTCATCGCCTTTGGTGTCATTTTTGGAGCTAGGGTTTAGTTATTGAGTTAAAAAGACTAGTTTTCATGTATTATATTAGCATAAAAATTTAGAGGTAGTATCACAGATGGTCACTCAACTTTGAATAATTTACTCAGAAAGTCACTCAACTATGAATGGTTCACATAGAAAGTCACTCAACTTTATTTTATAACGTAAAAGTCATTCAACTTAAACTAGTTTACTTAAAAAGTCACTCAACTTTATTGTTATAACTCAAAAGTCACTCATTTATTAGTATTTCACTTGAAAAGTCACCCGACCAATTTATATATGTTTTCCTTAAATTTTGTTCAAATGTAATTTTTATTTTGAATTTTTTTTTTATAAATAATAAAATACCCATTTTACTTAGTAAACATGTTTCCAGTTATGAACAAAAGATACTTTTGCTTTAGGAAAATTGGTGGAATATTACATTGGTCCAGTTTGTTCCACTAGTGCTTTGATTAGTTGATCTAGCGATTAATTTCTCGATTAGAGTTTGGAGTATTTTGACAAAATAACAAATAAGAGTCAATGTGTTATACTGTGTAAATGAATTTTCAAGTTAATTTTTTTTTTTGTTTTACATAAAAGTAATTTTAATAATACAAATATTTTGAGCTCAAAGGAAGGAATGATTTTTAACTCGCTAATCTACTCTATGTTAACTTTAAACTTATTGCTCTTTTTAATTTCGAGCAAAAAAGAGAAGGTATAATAAGTATTATACCATAGAAAGAAACAAACATGTATCATCACATTAATAATTTTCATAAAAAGAGAAAAACAGTAGAAAAAAAAAGAATTTTTGACAATATAACTAGAAAATAAGAGAGAAGAAAAATACTAGAATGGAAAATGAAAGAATTTTGTCAATTATTGTTTTGCGTTTTTCAAGAAATTTAAAATTAAATAATTAAAGCGGGTTCAATAAAATAATTAAAACGAATATATTACTATTTCTTAAAATTTTAGTTTGAAATAAAAAATATTTCTATTGGTGGATGACTTTTGGGTTATAAAAATAAAATTTAGTGACTTTCTAAGTGAAATATCAATAGTTGAGTGACTTTTGGGTTATAAAATAAAGTTGAGTAACTTTCTGTGTGAACTATTCAAAGTTGAGTGACTTTCTGAGTAAACTATCAAAAGTTGAGTGATTATCTCAAAATTTTACCGCATAATACATAAACATGGCCCTTAACTTGGCTTTAGCGGACAATTATGCCCTCTAACTTTGAGTGTACACAAGCAGACACTTAAACTTGTATAAAATAGAACAAGTAGACACACGTGTCTTACATGACATAATACATGTACAATGCCACGTAGGACACAAAGTTGTCATGTAGGACGAATATAATATTTTTATTTGTTCAATTTTATACAAGTTTAAGTACTTACTTCTGCACACTCAAAGTTAGAGGTCATAGTTGTCAGCTGACTCCAAGTTAAGGGTCATGTTTATGTATTATAAGGCAAATAATCTTTAGTCTCGTACTATTTATTTGTTATATTTAAGAATTAAGGCTTAACATATAACCAAACCCCTACACTTTGTTTGGATGGTTATTGCATGTTGTTTTATAAGATATTGTATTGTATTGTACCGTACTATATTGTTTAATGAATACAATATTTGATAGGTTATATCGCTCTCGGCCGTTACATAATGTCACACATTCATGATTTGAATGATAAACTTACAAGAAAAGTAGGGTATGGACTTCAGAAATACCCGATCCAGAGATAAAAAAGAATCAAATTTTCTGCTAGATCCCGTATTTCCCTGGGATTGTAGTTCAATTAGTCAGAGCACCGCCCTGTCAAGGCGGAAGCTGCGGGTTCGAGCCTCGTCAGTCCCGACGGATCCAATAAATATATCAAAAAATCTCTCCCTTTTTCTGAAGGGGACCGGGGGAAGAATTCCATTGTCAAAGCAAAGGGGAAATCCTTATTTCTTTTTCTTTCCTTTTGGTAGGAGAAAGACATATGCGGTTGGAGATACTATGAAAAGGTAGAGTGAAGATGAAATACAATTATTAAATAATAAATAAAGTTAAATGAGAAGAAAATAGTAAGGCAACGACGTGATCACACCAAATCGTTTGTTCCATAAAATGGGTCTTTTGATCGTTACCTAACGATGGATTTAAACGATATGATACAATAAAATTTAAGTAACAATCAAAATAAATATTGTATTTAAACTAACAATACAATACAACGGGTAACAATCATCCAAACAAGGTGTAAATAGTTAAACACTATATATAGAGAGTCACTATCATAAATATAGCTTTAGCGGCAATAAATATGTATATTAACAAAGAGTGTTAAAATCTTTGTCGACATTATTTATTGTGTTATTAGATGGCATTACATAGTGTGAAAGTGTAATTATCACTAGTAATTGTCTCTAGAAAAATTGTTATCGTTATTGTGGTTAATTAATTATTGATAAAAATTATTTTTGATGCAATAAGCAATAATAGATGGATACCTTTGCAAGTATGAACTGATTTATTCTTTGGAGCTTGCGTCGCGCGATAACTTGGAATGCTAGGGTTTCTCTATTGACCTAAAAAGACTCCTTTTTTTAACATATCTTTTTACAAATTTAGTTTATACAAGAAAAAATAAAACTTATATTAGCAAAATTTAACAA